TTGATACTTCCACTCTTTACATGTTAACTTCTACACTTGGGCATATTTAAACATTTGCTAAAGTATGAAACATTTGTAGTACATTGGATCTGATCCTGTTTGGGATCAGCTTCTAGAAAAGCAGAGAAAGATACCACTTATTTGTATAGGTAGAATTTCGTCACATCTAGGCTCACTCAGACAGCCGCCACAAGCCCGGAAAAGCACTGTACGCGCGTTTCATCCTTTCGGGAATCATCAGCAGTGCGCATTCCATCGGACCCTTGGTAGGGCTCGAAACCGCAACTCGACTGTTGCCAGTCCGTGGTTGAGACCACTGAGCTACGGGGGACGGCAACGACCATCGTGAATAAGTTACTAGATGTGATATAGCGCCGCTCACTATCCACTGACTTACACGTTACTGCCGTGCAGAGGACAGGGTAGCCCCCTCACCAAGCGACGAGCTTAACAAACTTAAGCCGCCAATTATCTTATGGCATTATAAGCAGTTTGTTCTGTGTACTGATTACAGAAGAGTAGTAGGGGGAGTTGAATGGTATAGGTAGAATTTCGTCCCTGTCCTCTGCACGGCAGTAACGTGTAAGTCAGTGGATAGTGAGCGGCGCTATATCACATCTAGTAACTTATTCACGATGGTCGTTGCCGTCCCCCGTAGCTCAGTGGTCTCAACCACGGACTGGCAACAGTCGAGTTGCGGTTTCGAGCCCTACCAAGGGTCCGATGGAATGCGCACTGCTGATGATTCCCGAAAGGATGAAACGCGCGTACAGTGCTTTTCCGGGCTTGTGGCGGCTGTCTGAGTGAGCCTAGATGTGACGAAATTCTACCTATACCATTCAACTCCCCCTACTACTCTTCTGTAATCAATACCACTTATTTATTTATTTAAAAGATTAGAGCATACGTGGCTAAACACCAGACGGTGAATCCCTTGGATTACTCGTAAGGCATTTCCATCACCTCATTGGTTGTCGAACAACCTCATTCTGCTCATGTCTCAAGCGAGGAGTAACCAAGTGCCTGATCCAGGTTGGAGCGCTGGCAGTGTCGCAACAGTACAATCATTCTCCTTGAGCATAAACCTTTATCATGCAGTATGCATAATTGACCGCGGCTTCTTAAAACCATATAACTCTTACCAATGCATGTAGCGAATCCGTCAAGGTAGGATGAACGTTCCACTATTCTAAAAGATAATGCCTCGACTTTAAAAACTGGTGTTATATCGACCCAGTTTGACACTTTGCGCTTGGAAGGTAAGAAACACATGCTGAAATGCGAAGTGCAATACCTCAACCATTGGCGTAGATTCGGATCATTTCCATGATAAAAATAAAAAGGGGATGGTAGAATTGGAGGAAACTGCTAAGGTAGGTCCTTCAACGCGGTATACTCAGCCCGCGCGCGACTGGTGGTGGTCGCGCGGCAGCAAAGCGCCGTTACGGCGTATAAGCTGACACATTACATTTTTTACATTTCAACGCTAGGTGTAATCACAAAAATCAGAAGCAAAGGCAACTTGCAGGAAAAGGAAGCGATAAGCAGGTTAGAAGCATGGTGAAAACCGGTGCTTGCAGAGTATCGCTCACATTTGGTATGAATACAGAGTGAGCAATACTGAGGTATGCACGTTGGTTTTTGTCAAGTAACCTTCTGGTGCCTCCCTTCAGTGCTTGCTGGAGTTCGGTCGCTTACGTTGGCTAGGACATGCCCTCGGTAGGCCCGTCTACCGTCTTCCTCGGCATGCATTATATACCGTCGCTGAACGAAGTTGATCGAAATCGCGAGGTGGTCAGTCAGTAGATAATGTGGCATAAAAACATGAAGAAACTGGCCGAGACTTAATCGCGCTGGTGCGTGCCGTCTTCGTGGACGGGTGTTCCGGGATGGTCCATACAAGTGTTTGCAGACGCTATCAGACACAGCGAAGTCGAGCAGTCAGTGGCATTCCTGCATTCGGTTTCTTGCATCCAGCTGCTAGTTTTCTTTCCATCCCAGATCGTTTAATGCACCTCCTTCTTGATTCCGCTTTCTTCACATTCTATTTAAATTCAACCACATTTTCCTGCCGTTTTTCTCTTATTCTGGTAGCTTGAGTAGTGACAAATAGAGCAATCGCGCTTCAATACCCAGATCGTAGTTGTTCAATTGAACTAAGCTGAACTGAAGCATCTGGCGAAGAGCAAAAATGTGGTCGGGACACCTAAGGTAACTAGGAAGCAATATAGACAAGCATACAGAATAAGAAGATGGGGAAGAGCAAAGTAAAAACACTAGATTACAAACCGATAAGAAAAAATACTTCTGATAATAAGAAGCAGATAAGTAGAATTAATGATACCAGTATTATAAGTTTAATGAAATTGTGAAGCAAACAAGACCAAAAATGAGCTGAACTAATGCGACAAGAAAAATATGTCAAACTTCCACCCGAGCCCGTCATTTGCTTAAGAACCCAACGCAGCACACGCAGCGTGTTTATAGAGACAACGCGAAGCAACATAATACAGGCGATCGAACATGTGGTGCTGCTCTGTCTCTCTGATCTGCTGCGGACCTTCACCCACCGCGTATCGGTGGTAGTCAGGTGTGCACCCTGAAACTTAAATCCGTAGTGACACTTGATTTCCACCACGCACGCATGTCCGCTGGATACTACTTGTTAGTAGTGCAACTCAAGGTGATGGGCAGTTGCGGATCTGTGAAAATGCGTTAATCAACTTGGACCGAGACGTGAGACGACACCACAGCAGTGATCCTTCGTCATACTGGCCGAGTAGCGTGGCAGATAAAGCATTGAACACAACGACCACATCGTCCTTAGACATTCCCAACAAGCAGTGATCGTACGGGCATCGTGTTTAAAGCCGCAGATGAGTATCCCCATCGACCCAGCTAAAAACTATACATAGAGCAGAGCTAGACAAAACTTGGATAGCTTAAGCTTAGATGTCGCCTCCAAACCAGACCATACAAGCGTAGTACAGGTACCACATGACATCACAGAGGAGTAGAAGTGAAGCGATAAACGGTAACGGACTGTTCACGAAATATGACATTATTCGGAACGAGCAACGAAGTATTTGATGCACCCGAGGGATTTCACTACTGAATGGTTGCAAGGAAACTGTGGAGTATGTTGAAGAAAATCAGTGCAAGCACTCGGGGAACGATAGCTTTGTGCTGCTCAAGAAACCCCTGCGATTTTAAAAGCTGTAGGAAGTAAGAGGTATGGTTCATGGATTTAAAGACTTAAACCGTGGTATTAGATGGACGAAGCAATGCGCTGTTTCAGAAAAGCTCAGAAAATGTTTGCCGAGATGGTCACTTTTGAGGGAGATGTAGATACGGTCTCCCAAAGCATTATGAGTGGGCTAGGAATGTAACTGGGATATGGAAGTGACTAATCACAACTCGCGACGCGCAGACAAACAGTGGTGGCCAGTTCGAGAAGAAACGGTGCGGTGTAACGAATGGGGTAAACTATCTAACAAGTAATTGTGGTTCTCGATGCGCGCCGATCTACCAGGTTGAAGGCCAAAAGAAAGATTAGCTAGATGGTGGGAATTGAATTCGATGACGTTGTTGCAGTTAAAAACTTTCATGTTAGCTGTTTCGTCTGGCGACTTATGTTGGCGCGCACCGTGTTCGAGCACGGTGAATGGATGAGCGAAGCTTTGGGGTGACTAACCAGTGTGGCGGAGTGAAGGAATGACGAAATTCAACGGAAGACTGGATCGAATGACGCATGCCGTCCTGGATCGTGGTAACGATAGTGTCCACACTGGCAAGTATATTCTGCATCAGACATGGCGCAGTCGGCAAGTCAGTGAAGCTTTCGCAGTTGCTGATTCCAGAGGCTAATCTCCTCATTTGACAGTCAATTTTAAACCCTTTTCCTTCAGCAAGCAGACCGAAGACGAAGCTGGTTGGTGGAATTTCTCCTGGAAGCATTCTACTCAACGTTCAAAATGGTGGGTATGTCAATAAACTGCTTTAGTTTTCCATCTGGAGTTCAGTAATCAATGCCTTTCGTGAACCCACGTTTTGCCTGAGTTCAGGTACTACCTGGTTGTTCTTACAAAGCTGGGTTTCTTCACTTCTCCGGCTTAAAGCAACAAAAATGGTCTAAATAAATACTCCGCTCCCAGTCAGACGCTGTATCAAAGAGCTGCAGATATGAGATTAAACACCTGATGGATGGAAGATACAAAAGGGCTGGCAGACGATGTCATAGCCATCCCAGATCCTTCACAATAGCAAAGTAAAGATAACTCCAATCGGCTTTAATTCGTGGCAAATGACGACCCAAATAGAGCTGAAAGTGCTGCCGTATCGGTTGTAATTCAACCTAAGGAGTGAGAAACTTAGAAATGGTGTACTCGCTTAAGAGTGAGAAAGTACGTGCTATGTTAGTGCGAGTTAAGGCGAGATTGAAGTGTGCAGATAATCCATAGTGATCATTAAATTGGCGTTGACGAGCGCCAGCTATGGATGATGGTAATGTTGCACATTAAAGTCGAAGAAATTATTTTTTTGAGATGGCATCAGGTGACAAGTTGTGAACAGAAAGCAGTGAACAGTGAACAGAAAGCAGTGCTAGTGGATGGTGTCGGAACGTATCCAGCAGGTATTGATCAGAAGCGGCCATACAGACATTAGTCAGCATTTGATAACCAGCTCACCTGGTCATCCGTGTGACCTTCTGTGATCATAATAGCTAAACTCCAGACCATACATATAGTGTCTTTCAAGTTATTGACAAGTAAAACGTAGGTCGCACGATTTGGGACGATGTGTTTGCAGTTAAACACTATGATCCATGCAGGTAAAAAGAATTCAGTGATAGATACAATACGAACACTGATATTACCTTAAACCACGATCCAGGAACCACTACAGACCGGAAGTGTACACAATTATAGTCAACGGAGCAAAAACGTAGTAAGTTAGGCACGTTAAGGTGTCCACATCTTGGATGTGACAGAGGGACTCACCTCAAAGCTATAAGTTGTGATCACACGTGAAGAAGAGGGCGGATTTAAGATACTTTCACCGTAGAGCTCTACATCCACTTCATCGAACGTGTATGATCCGTGAGTAGTCGGCACACTGGGTTTGACCATGCAGACTGAGGAGTCGTTTGCAATGACGGGTCTTTCAGCAGTGACACCGCCACCAATCTCCATACGCATGTCCTATGAAACAGAATGCAAAAATGCACAGCATTTTGGAGCACGATTACAGAACAAAAGATGGACAATCAGTGTGTATGAAAATATCTAACTATGGGCCGTGCGGTATGATGCCCGACAAGACCGAAACAATAGTGTTACTGACAATGAAGGGAGAAAACAATGCGAACGCAAATGATAAAGCCTATTTCGAGAGTTAACAGAAGTAATAATAATAATAATAATAATAAATAATAATGTGTCAGCTGTACGCCGTAACGGCGCTTCGCTGCCGCGCGACCACCACCAGTCGCGCGCGAGCTGAGTATACCGCGAGGACGCCCGCCCCTACGCGGATTCGAACCGGTGACCTTGTGGTTGCAAAGCAAACGTGCAGACCACTCGGCCACCGGCCGACAGAAATACGTTACTACCGTCAGGTGGAGGAGCTCACTTGGTCTGTGTCGCCAAAACCGGGAACGTCCGGAAGTGGTTGCTCCTGAAAGGCTTCTTCAGACACGATAATCCGCCCCATAGTGTTCACACACATGGAGGATACGGTGTATCGGAGCACCAAAGAATCGCAAAGACGAGAGCCAACAAATAAATAGCCCGGATCCAATAATGCCAACTGGAAAGAAAAGGGGGAAATGGAAGCAAGAGGTATTATAAATGTGTTACCGTAAGTTGATCGCGAAAACCTATGAAATGCATGCGACAATATGTTGCTAACCGCAGTCAAGTATATAAAATATAAGTGGACAGTGTAAGAGAGAAGGAAAAGGGATAGGAGGTATGTTGCTTTGAAACGTCCACATATCACCAACAAACACAGCACCTAAGAACAAGTAGATCGACGTAACATGGCCGGTATAACCCCCGTGGAATGCACGATGGGGATCGTGCGAGCCTCATCTGGCTTGCGCGGTGTCCTAGACTGTCTGCCTAACCATTGTTAAACCAGGGGAAATCGGATGTGTTGGCGATAACGTTGCGCACTATCTTATCATGGTGAGCAACACTACCTTTACCACACAGGCAACACACTACACCAAAACAAAACACCGTTGGGGTGACGGCGTCGGTTGAGGAGCCAGTGTCACTAGCAAAGCACCATGCAAGGAAAAGGTTGGTGTATTATTACACGTGTATTGACAGAATTTTGAGCGTTCCGCAATAGACACTTCCCCGATCGACTAATCGGTCCATTAATCTGTAACCACTCGGTCATTGCAAAAGGCACATGTGCGTGTGCACGGGGGAAATTGCACAGCACGTCACAGCCTTGAGGTTCACCAGAGGAGAGAAATCTCGTGTTTACGTAGTCTGAGACCGGACATATGATGCTCGAAGTCGTCGCTGAAACACTGACAGGGAAAACAACAGTCGATTGGGGAAAGCACGTGTGGTCGACCAGGCACTGGAAAGTGCAACAATGATCAAAACACATTCAGTCTACAGGTTATTCAGGAAAGGTTCTGAAATTTATGATCGATCTGCACTGAGCATAATAAGCGTCAAGTCCGGTGTAAACATCCCACTGGTACTTAGTACTGGTGTGATGCTGTGTATACATGCACGTGGACTTGAATGTTGCAGTGGTGGCCTAACCCATGCAGGACCGAATACTCGATGAGTATGTTCCAGCATCTTTTCGCGACGGTGGGATCAAAAAGCGATTCCCGAAAGTTGAAGAATGGCGTTAATGCTAACGAAAGTTTGTCCTTTGTGTCCAGCATCCACACAAAATCACGTATCGTAACGCCGTGCATGTCGCATCTGCATCCGTATGACGCATTGTTTCTTTGAAGCGGTCTTCCGTTACCGTCAGATGTTGTGTCAGATTTACTGTCTCGATTTCTTCTTGTTGATGTTTGATTATCGAAAGATAAGCTCTCGATAGAATATCCGCGATGAACATCTGCATCCCCAGGGTGTACACAAAATCTATGTCGTATTGTTGGTGTCGGATAAGTATTCTTTGAAGACATCCAGGGACACTATTTAATAGTTAGCTGGCTACACATACAAGCGGTTTATGGTCACGATACACAGTAGTCATCCTCTCAAAGGTGTAATCGTTGTATCGCTCCATCGCGTAAAAAACAGCGAGCATCTTCTCAATCTGCGTATGATGCTGAGCCGCCACTGTGAACCCACGACTACGAAAATCCAGGGGCTTGCCATACAGCATGAGAACGGCGCCTATTCCGCTCTCACTGCTGACACATTGCACCTAGAAAGGCAGATCTGGATCATAGTGACCCAGTAATGGTGCACAGTTGACGAAATGCTGGATGGTTGTAAAGGCAGTCTTATGCTCTTTCCCCAACTCCACTTTACACTCTTGTGTGCCACGCTCCGGATGTGCGTTATGAATTCAGCTGGCCTTGGTAAGAAACGGCTCAAATAACTTACCATACCATTTAAGCGACTAACAGCCTTGATGTCCTCAGATTGTGGCATCTCTTGCACTACCTTGATTTTACCGGGGTCGTTGTTTATTCCCTCGGATGTCAGAACGTGCCATGAAAAAGCACTTCCGGTTACGAGAGCTAAACTTTCTCGTGTTTGATCTTTATGTTCTTCCGCACGCAACGCTGCAAAAAGTGGTGCAGAGTGGCCTCATATTCTTGCTCGGTCGAGCAGTAAATCAGCGACTACATATATTACACCGTTTTAGCTCGTCAACAGCTTGCAGTAACCGTTTTTGTAAAATTTCGATCGAGACCTTCAAACCAAACTGTAAAAGTAGCCAGCGAACCCGGCCCGTGGGTGCAGAAAACGTCGTCAGGAAACTGGATTCCTCATCTAGGACCACGTGCCAGAACGCCGATGATAGATCCACTTTTGTGAAGTACTCTGCCTTAGCCAAACGCAGCAGGACATCTTCTAACGTTGGCAGCGCATAGTGCTCCCTGCGTAGAGCTTCATTCAATGGCTTAGGATCTATGCACAGACGCAATCACCACTCTTCCTCGTGACAATCGAGATTGGGTTACTCCAATCTGTCGGCTCCTCGACTTTGGCTATTACACCTAATTGCGTTAAGTTACTTAATTCGATGGAGAACTTATCACGTAAAGCAAACTTAACCCTTTAGCCGGCAGCTCAGTCGGTAGTATTGACGGATCTATTGACAAATGAACGGAAGCTTCAAACGTACCCAAACCAGGGCTAAACACGGACGGATACTGTTCACTAATATCTGTCTCTGCTCGACATGGATAAAAAAGTAAATCGCCAGCTGTACGTAACGGCGCTTCGCTGGCACGCGACCACCACCAGTCGCGCGTGGGCTGAGTATACCGCGAGGACGCTCGCTCCTACGCGGATTCGAACCGGTGACCTTATGGTTGCAAACCAGACGCGCATACCACTCGGCCACCGGCTCACACGCATGCACAAAACGATCATGGTTAAAATGAACAAAGTCAAGACACTGGATTGAATCAATGCCGAGAATCCGCGTGAGATTGTCCTCCACGACCACGAAATTCAACCGATGTGAGGGTCCATCTTTGGGATTGACCACTTCGATTGTGGCCATGCCCTTCGGTTGGAGCATGGAGCCGTCACACACGTGCAAGAAGCCTTGATCAAGGCTCGATCGCATGAACTCCTGGGCATTGCTTCGCAAATAGTATGCTGATGGTAGCACCAGTGTCTAATTGGAAGCGCACGATTTCGTCGCCAACCAATAAACTTGTGTAGACTCAATTCTTTGATCTCATCTCCGACACGTTGCTGATTGAATGGCCAGAGTCGGAAGGTCTTGTTTCACGACTGAGTGCATTCACTTTGGGAGACTGGAAGCAACGAGCGAAATGATTTCGTCTGCCACATTTGGCACAAATTCGACCCCACGCCGGACGTTGTTCACGATCCTTTGGGTGTCGCGCGGTGTAGAGTTTGCAGTTTCTTGTGTCTTGGTAACAGGCATCTCAAGTTTGTCAGGTAAACTGGACACGGCACATAGCTCTGCTCCAGTCGGCAACCGCATTTGCTAAATGTGGCGTGTAGCTGACGATTCACTAAGGCATATATGAAGGCACTGTGTGAGCGATTACTGTCGTTTCCGCAACAGCCGCTTGAATTTCATCGTTGATCCCAAGTACGAATATATCCCAACTGAGACTGCCAGCCATATATTGCAAAAATTACAAGAACAAGCCAGGATCTTCAGCTCCGTGACACAGTTCTCGATAAATTCATTCGGACGCTTGTTCCAAGTTAAAATGAGGTACCGCTGATACGTCTCGTTAGTCTGGCCCACGCAGAAATCACCGAATTTTCGGATGACTGTTTCCAGATCGGCTGAGTCTGCGTCCTTTTCGTACTGCATCGTTTCTAGGACGCGGCGTGCTTCATCTCCGATCGTATGTCGAAACATCGCCAGGCGAAACGCCATCGGTTGTTCATTCAGACGCACCAGTACGCAAAAATCGATCCATTGCTTTTCCATACTCTACAATTACTGGCCATGTTGTGTTCTTCCATTTTCAATGAGGCAGGCGTTTGTGCGGCTGGCTGCGCTCCAATCAGCAATCTGCCCTGTTCGGCGATTCTGCTTTGGTTTTCTCTGACACCATGTCGCAAAACTCGGTCTTTCAAAGACAAACGGATTATTCAACAAAGCAAACTCAGCGAAATTTACGGTATGAGTAGGTTGTAGAAGTCTCGATGTAAATAACTAGTTCAGTTATATAGCTAACGATGTTGATGCATGCATGAGATGCTTCCTTTGAACCAAACAAACAAACTCAAAACTTTGTGTTCAAAACAATTATCGGTCAGCCTCAGGCTGCCCTGGTTGTAGAAGAAAGACACCCCTCTTTTCTCTCGTTTGTTGGTATGTATGTCTGTACCCACAAACTGTTATATAAACTTACTGGTTATCCTTATCGGCACTGATGAGACGATACGAAATGCATGCAACGGCTGAACTTCGTCTTCTAATTGTGCTTTTCAAGTTACTGAAGTAACTAACTGTTTTAAATTTCTCAAACGACCAATTGTTTGGCCACCGGCTCCTAACGGGTTGTGATACTCTTATATCACCCTGGCGCCTTGTAGGCTAGATCCTGGATCAAAAGCGCAGAGCGGGACCCCCTAAGAGAACTCTCTACATCGGCCTGAACAACCGGATAGTATCACGCCCACTGACGAACCATGGATGGATTATACTACTGCTTTCACTCTTGCTATGCTTACTGGCTATACTCTCTGCTGCTCAATATCCGCTCACAGATCGTCCCACGTCCTGTTCATTAGCCACATCTGTCTTCCCCGGTCATGGTCAACATCAGCTCACTGGTCGCATCTGACAGAGTTCTGAGCCACAGTTTTGGTGTTCGCTGCCCGGCGGTCACAACATCCTCACACTCAACCGAAGTCCAAGCTTTCCTTCGTCCTTGTGCTCCATTCGGCCTTGTAGTGTACAATGTGCACACCATGATGCAGATCGGACGACAAGCATGCCTAGCCAGCACCATTGAGATACTCTCGGTGGACATCTGTTACCTATCGGAAACAAAGCTGAGAGACGCCGGTACGGTCATCAAAATGACCTCACAGGCAGAAACCTGACGTTAACTACCACTTGCGCCTTTCCGGAGCTCCAGAGGCCGC